AGACAGAAAAATGTTCGCGATGTGTCTGTATCGAAGGACATGTGGAATGCACTGCTGTAAGTATAACATATCATGGATCATATTTTCAGCAGAACCAAATATATTTACAGGGTCAACAGAAGGACAGAAAAAGGATTTAAATTAAAGTATAACTGATTATTTATTACAAATGAAACTCTCATGAAATTAGTTATAAAGCCACTTGCGAGTTTCAATCAGCAGTCAGCATGCTGAAAATTGCAGTGTTAAAAAAATTAAATTTTAAAATCTCTTGGCAACTTAACAGTAAAGTAGCTTTTCTAGTCTAACCGCAAGGCAGAGGTTACATTATTGACTTATTAGTGACAGTTCATCGGATGAGATAGCTTATATGTTCCCAGTGCAATGGTCACGGGTATGCCGGACCCATCTCCAGCGACGCCTGATAGTACCTACCGCTATCCGTCCACAGCTAACTTCCATATTTGCCAGTTGGTCCGCCATCTACAACCTGTGGACGCGTCAGACGGACCCGCAACTAGACTCATTGTAGTGACCTTTATCATTTTCCACCACACTCACTTGTGTTTTGGCGAAGTAATGCGAAGTGCTACGATGCTGTACCGCTAATGTCGTTGTGTTCAATTTAATAGATGTCGTTCTCCGTCCAGATGATAAATGTCGTAGCGAACCTCATGGCCATGGCCCACTTTGCGATCTTACACAATTTCAGCAGAATGAATGGTATTCAGAGAGAGTCATTTTCAGCTGCCTGAGTCTGTACTGCAATTTCATGTCAGGTGTAGAAAGGGTCATCTTGCTAAGAATGGTAGATCGAATGATGCGCTGCTTCAACCTTACTTTTATGGTTTTGTGTGGCAGCATATTTCACATTGGCGGTACTTATCGGCAGTTTTGTTCTTCTGGTACCATCACCTTTAGCAGCTTTGCACAGCTGTATACTGTTTAACATATCTACTCATCCCCACATTTCGTTTTTTAATGTTAGGAGGTGTTTACTGTTTCGATGATAAAAAATTACTTGCCGACAACAAGCCTCCGCTTAATTTGCTTTGCCAAGTTATGTACTGCTCACCGATCTTCCATCGACTATGTTTAGACTTCTGTGTAAAGAGTTGGCGAGCTAGAAATGCATAGCTGCTTCATCGGAGATGATCCAACTATGTCACTGCTCTGTCTCTGAGTTCTTTTGATATTTATTTGATCTGCCAATTGTAGACTGCGTAACACCGTCCTCTTGGCAAGCGTCGGTTTTCGTCCATTAACTAGTGAAAAGTGAGGAAAGTTTGAGTTTCCATGAGAATTTAGCGATTTTCAAGATTTGTAATTATTTATTTTTCGATATTTTATTAATATGAAAGTAACTGAAATTTTTAGGCCAAATGCAATGTTCAGAACTGCCTTCATCGACACATTGAACCAAAACGCTTCATGCCCTGTCCCAACGATCAGCTCTGTACCTCGGTCAATGCCCCGCAGTGGTCCTGTGCAAGGGAGCCATGTCATCACGTCCCGTTTGGCGTCTGCCTACCGATCACAATAGTTGAGTACTCTGGCGAGGAGAAGAGGCGATTCTGTGAACAGGCGCACTACACGGATGAGAGTAATTCGATGTGTTTGCGCTTCTACGCTGTGTTGGACAATAATCTCATACCACCGGTAAGCGGTATAAGGTAGCTTTCTCTAACCTTATTCCACCACCTACTTTTAGGGCACCTTCGCCGCACAAATATGCTTCAACATGTTGATGGTGTTCATCGGCAACAATATAAATGGTCTGAACCTGTTCTGTGACGTCATCAGTCGCAACCTGTCATACACTACCCTTATTGTGGACATGGTGAGAGGTTTTGGGTTTCAAACGCATTTTCATATTTTTTGTGACAATTACATTAAAGGTGCCCCTCGGCGACGATCTATCCCTGACCTCAATGCAGAATCACTTGATCAATAGCTTGTTGAACCGGGCGACACCATTTCTGCTACTGCAAGCAGTCACCAGTATCCGAAAAACCCCGCTCTATTTGTCGAATACCGTCGATGCGACCATCTCCGCTCCAAGTGTAGAGCATAAAGACAGATCGGACAACGGTAGGGCAACCTGTCTTAATACAGTCTTACAATACGCAGTATTTTTGTGCCTTATATATACTTATATAAATGCTTATACAATACACAGTTTACAACAAAAGCATCTTATTAGTTTCCTCTCTGGCACGATTGAAGGTCCGAGTTTCGACATCACCTTGTATTGAAGTTGCACGTATGGGCCTCTTTGAAATTATGCTCTTAAGCAGCATATTCAACTGTACGCACGTTCTTTTTAGATTTTATATGTATTAAAATCGCTTCTGTATCTTATGATACTTTTTTTGTAGACAATGTAGCGTATTTTCAAGTATAACCGCTGAAGTTTATGCAACAGCCCTCCGCGCTTGTCCGCTGATGGGCAATCCATCCCATCGGCTGTGTGAAGACTTGGAGTCATATGGGGATAGTGAGGCACCACTCGTGGTAATTTTAGTCAGCAGTAATGTACACAATTCACAATTTCCTCTCCATCATGTAGGGAACATTCTTCTAGCCTGTTCCACTTTAAACGATCCCATGAGAAAAAATTTTCATCTGGTGGCGAAAGACAACAAAAATAGGTATTAGCTTAAGATTATGTCAAAAAGTCAATCAGTGCACTTGTGATGGCTGATGTGTAATGGCCGAATAATAGGTTATTCTCATATGTAAAGTTAGTAAGTTAATACCTAACTGAGCAAATAAGTGAATGTTTGTTTCGCGTGTTTTCATTCCCAGAAGACGGATCAGCATGATGTGCTCCGTCTGTACTTTATTTATTGTCCCATATATCTATGGCGGTATGTCACCCTTTGTCTATATTTTTATGGAAAAGTAGTGGATGTTCACTCTAGCGCTGTGTAGGTCATACCGTGTTTCCCGTTAGAGGAATAAAATCCATTATTAATATTAT